CTACAGAGCATTTTAAGATTACCTTCAAACTCATTCCCATGCTTTTGTTCTCTTGGTTTTTCAGCTACCATTCTAAGGTCTTAAATTCTCTGGGAGGCTCCACTCAACCTTTCCAAGGGCAATACTTAGCTTTTCAGTTGCAGAGTCTGGATACGATACGCAAATACAGATTCTGTTCAACTTAATGGAAATGTTTCCTCGTAGTTCCTGCGACTGCATTAGTGCACTGCAGATTACTGCCTAGATCTTAAACTATAGCATCTCATTGTTGCCCACTGCTTAGCATGTCCACTTCTAGGCTTTTTTCCCTTTCTCATACAAGCAGCTAGGATTTTCCATCTTATATTAGGGTTGTAACTACATTGCTACCAAAACCATGTTGTTCTATTGTGACTTTAATTAAAGTTATTCCTCAGTCTAATTCTACCTTTCAAGGTATACTTTCATATAAAAGCCACAAAATTATTTAGTTAAATGTCAACGAATGAACATTGCATTATTTGATGATTAAGCCCTAACAACTTCACTTGAATAATCACCTATAGTTATTTCCAATTACAAACAAGAAAGATGAGTTAAGAGCTTGATCTAACAGCAGCAAGGCAGCCAAAACTGGGATGAAATGTGAAGTGTTTGGGCACATGTCACAATAGAGACAAGCATCTGTGTTTTCCGTCAGCTTACCTGCTCCTGTGATAAGCACCGGATGGACTACTTAGTATCTTTAAAGAAATCTAATATCATCTCCTCCACCTAGTACACCAAGGAGGAAATACTCAAATGCCAACAATCATCACCTCTCTGGTCTGAGTCCTCAACTTGTATCTACCATATTCATCCATTTTGGTGCTACTGCTACAATTGTCATACATGAGAAACTGGCAGAACCTATGGACCCTGAAGTTTTCTAATGCAATAATCTCTCATTTTGACCAGTTTTACAATATATTCAACTGTAATAGGATTGCCCAAGTATTTTTGTTTATTATACACATTTCTGGACCTGATCCATCAGACATGGTATTCTATTTGCACATTTTTTAAATCTAGAATAAAATTCCAAAAGGACCTGACTAATGTAAAAAAAATTGGGACTATCTGGGAAGACAGTCCAAATCTGTCAGCTCATATCATCCTCCAGGACACAGATTCTACCAATACAAAATAAATCTGTACATGAAACTACTATCAAAATTGGAAAGTAACAGGTCTGTGTTCTCAAGCTTTTAAAGGTAACAAGACATGGCTGTGAACATCTTCACCTGACTTGGTCCCCACTCAAAGCTATTCTCAGTATAAGAGCTAGAGTGGCCTTTTTAAAATATTAGTCACATCATGTTATTGCTATGCTCAAAGCCTAAAAATAGTTTCCCAACACACTCAAAGTTAAAACCGAGGTTAACAGGAGGGACCAAGGAGATGCATGACCTGGCCCATCC